ATTAGTGTTGTGTACATTCACAGAGCCCTCCTTAAAGCCTGTCTTCAGGCACTTCAGGAGAGATTCTGCAGGATCTGGACTTGAGAATGGTTCATCAGAGTGAGTCTGCTTTCCTAGACTAGACAAGAGACTTGTTAAGCAATGTTTTAGGGAACAGCTCTCCAAAAGGGTGTAGTAAAGAAGAAAAATAGGGTCTGTTGCTCTTTAGCCCTTTTTTAGCTTTGATGTACATGAATGTTCCATGAGCCTTGATCCAACAGACCCGTGGGGTTCTAACCAGTTTTTGTAAAGAACTCCTTCATCCAGAGTTTCTCACCAGTATGAACTTCAGCTTGTTACTGGCAGCACAGTTACTGAGTTATAGCAGAATTACAGGTCAGAGCTGCCTGGGAGTGCTGCTCCAAATTCCCCGCTACTGCAGGAGACACTGGCAGCTCTTCTGGTCTCTCATGCTCTGTGGGAGTTTGAAACTAGTCTCTCACTCCTGTTCCTTCAGTGTAGGGTGTCAGGAGTGATAGTTGGGGGTGGTGCAGCTGTTTATGTGGACCCTTCTGGATTTGGAGACTGTTGGACTCTTTCCTGTGCTAATAGGTTTTAACTCATTGACTCGTTCAGTGAGAAATCAATTGTGTGCTAATTGCATTTCACCTATTCCTTTTGAATGGAGTAAAGAAGCAAGAAACACATGTTCATTGCGTAGCAGGACTGTTTCTCCTGATAATTCGGGTGTTTGAACAGGGTTTCATCATTATGGTTTTAGTTTATAATTTTAAATCCTTCTATATATGGAGATTGTCTTCCTTTGCTGTTTCCTAGAGTTGAAGGACTCTCTCTCCCGTATGGGCTCTGACCTCAAACAAGGCTTTATTAGCTCTTTGAAGAGTGCGTGGCAGACCCTTAATGAATTTGCACGTGCTCATACATCTTCAACTCAGCTACAGGCAGAACTGGAGAAAGTAGCTAACCAAATTAAAGAGGAAGAAGAAAAGCAAGTGGTAGAAGGTATGTGGACACATTATTGGTTTACCTGTAACTTACTTTTCTCAAAGTAATTGAAACTTGAGTATCCTGGTGACTGTTTGCTGTTGATTTTCCTGGCCCTATTGAGGAGGTCTCTGCTGAACACCAGGTGCCCACCAAAGCTGCTCTGTCACTCCCCTCCTCAGCTGGACAGGGGAGAGAAAATGCAGTGAAAGGTTTGTGGGTTGAGAGGAGAACAGGGAGAGATCTCTCAGCATTTACCATCACAGGCAAAACAGACTCCACTTGGGGAAACTAGTTTGATTTATTACCGGTCAAATCAGAGCGGGATAATGAGAAATCAAAGCAAATCTTAAACTCCCTCCCTTCTTCCTGGGCTCAACTTTGCTTTCCCTCCTCCCTCCCAGCAGTGCAGGGGATCAGGGAATGGGGGCTGCAGTCAGTCCATCCCATGTTGTCTCTGCCTTAAATCTGTTATCCCAGAGGTGGTGCCACCATGCCTGGTGGGCTCAGCCTTGACCAGGGGCAGGTCCATCTTGGAGCCATCTGGCATTGGCTCTGTTGGACATGGGGGAAGCTTTTGGTAACTCCTCGCAGCAGCCACCCCTGCATCCGGCAGGTCCATCTTGGAGCCATCTGGCATTGGCTCTGTTGGACATGGGGGAAGCTTTTGGTAACTCCTCACAGCAGCCACCCCTGCATCCCCCTGCTACCAAAGCCTGGCCACAAATCCCAGCATGGGAGTATTGATATCAAATGCAAGATCTACTGCTGCATTTTTTGTGTTTGGGAAAGAAATAGTTAGCAGCTTTTACTGAAGGAAATTTCAGACTTGAGTTTGTGTACCCTTTCAACTTCCTAAAGGTTTCTAAATCAAGTCTGTTTTCTTTCAGGGTAAATTCATACAAATAAATCTTTGTGTGATTTACTCTCTTCATTAGTGTTCTCCTGAGTTTTTTGGGATGAGCTTAGAAGCATTTAAGTATGTTCTCTAACAGAAAAAGAATGCTGTTGAGGAAAATAAGTTTAAGTCAGATATAAATAGTACCCTTAATGATACCAAGGTCAGGACTGCCAGTTGTGAGTTGTATGTGTCAGTAAATCTGCCTTTGTGTGTCCTTAGAAAGACAAATCATTCTTCCTAGTTTAAATTGAGGACAGTGATTGACACTGTGCAAGGGAGATATAAAGATGTGTTATGTCAGGTTATTCATTCATGGTATGACTTGGATCTGTCTATAAACGGGGTTTGTTTTTACAATTGCTCAGCTACTATTTTACATGAGCCCTTCTTCAAACAAACTGTTTCATTGTCACAAAAGAGATAAGCCTTTCTGACTTGTGCAGTGGTGTGCTGGGCAGGTTGGGTTGTTATTGTCTTATTGAAAGCATTTGGAGATTATAGCAGGGGAAAATGGGTGATATTTCTTGATTCTAGTCAAGCAGGCTGTGCTTGGAAATAGTTTTAAGTCTTGAACTCTTTAATTTTAGCTGAGAAGATCACTGAAAGCCCAGAGCCTCCAAAAGATGAAGATGTGTCAGTGAAGGTTGGAATGCTGAATGGAGGACGTCGTATCGATTATGTTCTACAGGAGAAGCCAATAGAAAGCTTCAATGAATACCTTTTTGCTCTGCAGAGTCATTTGTGCTACTGGTAAGAGGAAATATCTGTGATTCTGTAAACACTGCTTAGGGTAAACAGTATAGATGATTGTTCAGGAATGTCAGGCTCAAGGAGTTGCATTTGGATGTGACTATTTGCTAATCTAATTTCAAAAGCAATCTGTGTTGGCACACTGTGAACAGATCTGTTTGCAGTAAAGACACTGTGTATTGTTATCTTGACCTTTGACACAAACCCACATTTTTAGCTACTCTCATGTTCAAAGCAAGGAGAGCTTATGGAAGCATTTTGACATCTGCAGTTTTTAAAACAAAACTGTTCATGAAGTAACTGTATTAGACTACAACAGGTAGTAAAACTTCATTGCCTCTTCATGGTGAAATGACATTGCTGGATGCTCTGCTGCCAAATATTAACCAAAAAAAAAAGGAAGAAAAAATGCACAGTGGAATTTTCTGTACTTTTGGATGGTTATGATTTACCAGTTCTGTGCAGTGGTTGGAGTTTAAACTTCGATAAACTTCTGTATGGAAGAAGAGGCAGAGTTCAGTGTCCTCATGTAGTCAGAGCTGTAGTGCAGCATTACCTTAGCTGGGTTTGGATTTATCCTTGAAGTTCTTGCATATTTCAAATGGAGAAAGATACCATTCCAGCAGTAACTATTGACCAGTTGGATTTGCCCTTATGTGAGTTGCTCTTGTTTTTGTCCTTTTGTTATGTCATTGTATACATTCCATTACTGTCCTAAAATTAAGTGCACATGGAAATAGACAAGATGTGGAATGGTAGAGCAAAGGATGTGTAAACCGTATTTGCAGCATGGTAACGCATTTTATATGGAATAAGCAAGCTTGGATGTCAGCTCTGAGCTGTGCAGTGTTGCTGATGGGGGAGGAGTGACTCATCTCTTGTTTTGAGTTTAGCAGGGGCTATACAAATGGGGCTCTAAATTATTTTTGAGGGGTTTGATGATATCCAATAGCTAGTAATTTCTAGTAGCAGGCGTTTTTCTCGAGGTTAAAACACGGAATTGAAAGCGTTTGCTGAAGGATTTTGTTGCAGCCACTGTCCCTCACCCTGTCGGAGTTCAGAAGTGCCTGCGAAGGGCTAACCGAGGCTGCTGTGAGCGCTGAGCTCGGCGCAGTCGGTGCCCCGGGGGTGGCAGTGCTGTGCCGCAGTAGGGCTGGAGGCACAGGGAGCTCTTTTCCACAGGGTGGCAGCCGATCACTGCCAGCTTTATGAACTTGCCATCCACGGCTGTTTGTCATTCGAGTAAGGAAGCGAATCACTGTGATTAATGACCCAAATATGAGAGCTTTTCTTTTCGGGAACGGTGGGAAAAGCCTTAAATGAAATGCTCTGTGTGTTAGAGAGAATGGAGCTTCTGTGTTGGTCCTTCTGCTTGCTTGTTTGCTGCTCATTTCATAGCAAGAGACCAGCAAGAATTATGGTTACTGTGTCTATGCTTAATTGTGGAAAAGAGTGAGAAAATATTTGTAGTCTCTTAGCCTGCATGTTTAATTCTGCACTGGAGTTCTGTAAATTATGCTCTTCACATTGGAGGGTCACAGGTGTGACCATCTAAATCTCCTTTACTGTGTCCCTGTTGCCCTCAGCTAACAACTCCTGCAGCTTTGGAACTTTGTTAAATTTGCCTGTTTAGCTTAGCTGTTTTTCACTGTGCTTGTTGCTTTTTTTATCTTGGTATTCTTTATGTATGTTTAAATAGCATTTTATAGGTAAATAATCTAATTAAGTTAAATTTAAGATCAGATAGCCTGAAACTTTGATTTCTGGAAAGGGGAGGGAAAACAACCACTTGGAAACCTGACGCTGGAATTATATTAGTCTTTAAATTATTTGAGGACTTCCTTACATTCTTGTGGTAAGGAAGAGGAGAAAAATCTGAGTATTTAACATAGTTATTTACAAGAAAGGCTCAACCAGTTAGGAGAGAACTGGAATATTGCTGATGGAACTGGCAAGGTGAGTTTTGACATTGGACAAGTAAAGGAAGAAAGCCTTGATGAGCAGAATGTGTTCTTGGTGGAATATATTCAGGAACTCATCCCAGGGGAAAAGTGAAACGTTATTTGAGGAGATCTAAGACAAATGAGTAACATCAAAGAAGTGATGATGTAGAAGAGGAGAAGATGTAGAGTGGCAGCATAGTATGTTAGAGAGGACAGAGCAGAGGAAAATGCAATAGAAAAAGGTAAATGCACAGGCTAGAGCTGATAGCAGAACTAGTGCCAAACTGTAGCTTGAAGGAACTTTGGAGAGGTAAGGCTATGGTCCTGAAAAATAAGGACTAGGGCAATAGGTTGTGCAAACTTCATAGAGAGCTGAAATGTGTTGAAATGTGACTTACAAGAATTACAACATGGACTATACTGAAATAACCTTTTTCCTTTTATTTTCTCCATTTTCCATAGGGGATCTGAAGACACTGCCTTGCTGTTTCTCAAAGAAATATACAGGACTATGAATATCCATCCTGAACAGCCACAGCATTGATGTATAGAGACATCAGTTGGTAAGTTTGCCCTAAGTTATGCACTCAGATCAAGTTCAGCTGCAACTTAGATGTCTTTACTTTCCCTTTTTCCTCTGCGGTTTAAATTACGAATGTAAAATGTCATTATGTTTGCAAAAACAATTTCTAGACTCAAATGCAGAGGAAATCTTTGAGTTCTTTCCACCCTTCATTCCCAAAGATACCTGATGTTACTGGTTTTGATATGGGATAATAATAATCAGTTCCAGAAGATGAAAACTTGGTGAAATTGAATGTGATGAAACTTCATTTACAATGCAGTAGATTAAAGAACACCAACAGTGTTCCACTGGTTGAGCAATGGTGTACATGTGTGCCAGAAGAGAAGCTACTTGTCTCCTAAGGTGTTAAACATTGATACTGATAAGTTACTGAATGAGACCTCTATGTATGTCAATATTTATTATCTTTGTACAGCTTAAGAATTTCAGTAGAACAAGTGAGATGGCATAGCAAGAAAGTTGGTTCCCTTTGAAAAGAAATTAAGTACAGAACATAATTGAGTATCTTAGGCCTGAAATATACTTGGAGATATTTTGTGATGTGTGTTTCCTAACTGACATCTGTATTGTACCTGTTGGCATTACTGGATGTTGTAGAATATATTCTGTTTTTTGAGAGGGAAGGAGGAAATAATACCTTGCCTTTTTGGAATCATACAAGATAGTTTCTGATGTATTTCTCCATGTTCAGAAGAACTGATAATGTCAAGCTACATAAATACCCAGCATGAAGAGAAATACTTGACATTTCAGGGGAATATTTTAGGTATCTTTCACAGCGACCATGCAGTTTAGGAGTCTTTTGTGCCAGAAAGCTCCTGTTGGTCAGTTGATAGCATCTTTTTTTAAAAATGAAATGTCATGGCTGATCAAATGCACTTTTTTTAAAGCAGAGAGAAATGAAAGGAAAAAGCCACCATTTGGCTGCACAGCTGTGCCAGGGGTGTATCAGTTAGCACAATGGTGTGTGCAGTCTCAAGTCAGGGTTGCAGAATTTTTTCTCTCCTTCTAGTTCTTTATGACTGTGTTGGCTGAAATCATATGGAGCTTATTGTGACAGAAATGCCTTTAAGTCTCACTGCAGAGGGGACACAGGATATGATAATTTATCACTACAGAGCTAAAAGTGGGTTTGTTGCTCAGCTCCAGTAGTCACTGGGATAACTTTATTTTTTTCATTCAGAACTACACAGACAGGAGATGGTTTAGCAGGATGTCATGCAACAAAGCACAGTCAGGGAAATCTGTGTAATGCCATTAGGAATTGCTGAGAACTTCCCTCAGCACTTCCTTGACTGAAGAGTGTTTGAGGCTGGGATCAAGACAGCAGGGACTTAAGTGGGAGGGCAAGACCAGGATCTTTTTCACGTGAGAAGAGCTCTTTATGTGAGCTGTGTAAAACATTATCTCTTAAGTCATGAAGTGCTGAAGTGGAAAACTCTCCCCCAGTGCTAGTAGTCAGGTAGGGTTGGCACGTGGGTTTTTTTCCTTTTTTCTGTTCTTTTCAAACCTTCAAATGCAAAAGGTGGCAGTGTGAAGGTAATGGATTATCCACCAGTGCCTGTTGACAGTAACATCC